TTCATATCATATATACAAGACACAACTCATGGTAGATACCCTGGTCTTCTGGCTCCTACTATTGTTCTATCCCCCTTTCCATAAGCTCCGGTGTTAAGTGTTGTGTTGTAGACTCATCAGTCAGGGCATCCCACAGTCAGTGGTTTTTGGCATTTTGACTGGTTGTGGCTTTCTGTAACAGTCTCCATTTTCATTTTTATTTTTTAAATATATTTGAATTTTTTATGCTTACCCTCAGCTTTTCCATCTTCTTTCTGCCTTTGCCATTTTCCGTGTCTAAACACCAGCACCTAGATAAACTAAGTCTATTCAGGACATGGAGCAGGAGCAAAGATCTTGCTACGAAATTTGAGGTAAACAAACCAGAAAGAGAAAAGACTGATTACACCATTCATCCCAGCCATTGCCCCTGCCAGAGCTCATGGCTGGTGACCTTGTAAAGGCAGCGGTTCACAAGAATAGCTTTCTAGAGCAACCACAAAAGAAAAGCTGACTTGAACCTGGATGGGGGAGCTCATAGCTTCCAGTACAGTTGCAAAAACAGAACCTATTCAGTGGAGACCTGAGCCTAACCATGTGCCAGGCAGGAGTCCAGCAGGCGTACAGCAATGCCTGATGGCAGCTGTGGCTTCCTTTCATCTTCCCCTCTTAGGAACTGTGCTCATATGCCAGTGATGTCCTGAGAAAGCAAGACAACACGGCAGTGTCACCTTGTCTTTGTGGGTCATGAACCAAAGCCTATAGTGGAGTGGAGTGTGTGTGTGTGTGTGTGTGTGTGTGTGTGTGTGTGTAGCATATATATATATATATGGGGGTGATGCGGTACATATGTGTTTGTGGTGTGTATCTATGTGTGATGTATATGTGTGTCTGTGTGGTGTATGGTGTGTGGTGATGATGTGTGTGTGGTATATATGTGCGTGTGGTGTACGTTTGTATATGTGGTGTATGGTGTGTGTCAAGTATTTGTGTCTGGTGTGTATGCGTATGTGTGGAGTGTGGAGTGTGTGTGTGTGTGTGTGTGTGTGTGTGTGTGTGTGTGCTTCCCTAACAAAGGACTCTGTAATTCCTAATCAGAGGTGCTTGCTTGCCTTTGGAGCTACAGCATCATTTATGGTTTGGTTTAGTTGCTGAGATACAAGAAGGGGACTTCCCACCTGGATACATCCCCCAAAGGGTTTATTCAGCAACTACGTACTATATGGTTTTCATTTGCCCACAGAGAACAGGGGAACAGCCATCTCCATGGTTCACACCAAGGCCTTACTGCAGAGCTAGAAGGGAGGTGACAGTAAATGAGTCTGTTTTCCGTGGTCTGTTCCTGTCACCCCAGCTATCATCTCCCTTTGAAAGCTGTACATTTTAAGAGTTTTGCAAAATGAGGACTTTTTGGTGTTCTGACTCAGCCAGTCGCTTTCCTATACACCCCAGTCCCCTTTAATCACAACAACAAGTCACTTAGGGTTTTTATTCCCTGCCTTTTATGTCCACTTTGAACAGCAAGAATTGCAGAAGTGCTTTCCTTTTGTAGTGAAAGGGTTTGGAGAGGGAAGAAAGTTTCTGATGAAGTCCCATTCACCTTTTCCTGCCTAAGAGCCTTGATAAGAGCTGTGGGATTATTTGGGGATGGGACAGTGAACCCTCAAAGCTGAAACATGTCTTGGTGCTAGAGATAGCCCAGAGCAAGCCCTGATGTTAAAGGACAAAACAAAAGAGGTGAAGGCAGGAAGGGAGGAAGGAAAGAAGGAAAGAAAAAGAGAAAAAAAGGCACATGCATGGTCCTTTACATGATGACAAGACAGGCTCTAGAGGAATAATAAAAATCACCACTAAGAGATCTCCAGTGTACAAGCTCTGACATAGGCAGTTGCTCCTGAACTTCCCTCTTCATCACAAGAGCTAACCTGGGGATGGGGCGTGCTCAGCTGTAAATCATTTGTCTGGCACAGGCAAGGCCTAGGTTCTAGGCCCAGAATTGCATATGCATATACTCTCTCTTTCTCATTTTATAAATAAATGAATAAATAATTTCTATTTTAAAATTACAAATATGCATTTTAAAGAGCTGAGTATAGTGATGTGTGCCTACAATCCCCATACTTGGGAGGGTGAGTCAGAAAGACTCCCCTGCCTGTGTCCTGCCTGGACTATGTAAAAGGAACCAATTTAGCCAGAGCTAGATAGCAAGAAAAACCTTGGCTCAAAAATAAATAGGTAAAAGGAAATTTACAAAAATAAAAAGCAGGAAAACAAGAATGAGGTAATATATAATATAATATAATATAATATTGTAATGTAATATAATATAATATAATATTTACTAGTTTGTTTTATAATGCAACATTGACCCCACTTAGTCACCACTGCACAATTAGAACAAATATGGCTAAAAATGTCAAGACGCTGAATATAAATTATAGACCATATCATATGCCTGTTACAAGTCTATAAACCTTTTAAACGGTAGGCAAATAGGAACCGATTTCAGTGTGCTTAATAATGCAAAAACAAACTCTTGATTAGTCACCTTACAATGTGTGGCAACCTCGAAACAGTGAAGAGAGGTGCACTCACAGCGAGGTGATTACTTGTGACCCTGTGGGGAGAACGAAAAGTCAAGGGCAGCAAATGTTAGATATTACCAACACTTTAGAGCAAAGTGCAGCTTCATGGGAACCTGACAGGTAGAGGAAGGCCACAGACCTCCCTCAGGCATCTGAGGCTTGGAGGGAGAATAAAGGAATGAAGCCCAGCGAGGCTAGAAATGAAATGGTAACGAAATGAAAAAGAAATGAAACCAATGTGTATGATAGATTCGTAAGGGTTTGTAGAGAGGTTTCATTCACAAGAGTAGAGGGGAAGAAAAGAGATAGAATGGGGGGAAGACTGGGAGGAGAGAAAGAAGGGGAGCGCTCTGGAAAATAGGCCCAAAGTGCTAGGATCAGACAGTTTCTTAGGGAGCAAGAAACAGGCCTTGATCCTCAGCACTGAGGTTGGGCAGTTTGGGGAACTGTTTAGAGAACTACAGCATGCCCCCCACCATTAATCTTTCCCAAGGAAAGGCTTTGTTCTGCACCTGTATAAACAATCCAGATTTCTAAAACCTATTGCCTGCCCCTAATGTGTGAGAGTATGTATTTATAGTGATAGCTTCCAGTCATCTATAGGTAACACCTCCGCCTTAGCCTTACATCCTTCTGCCTGCACCCCCCCCCATCCTTTTTTGCCTGGACAAGCTTGCCTACAGTCAAGGTCAAGTTCAAGCACTCAGAAGAAGGAGGAGGAAGAGGAAAAAGAAGAAGAAAGGAGGAGGAAGAGGAGGAGGAGGAGAAGAAGAACAACAACAACAACTAGCTACCCTTTGCCAAATACAGCTGTAATTCCCCAGCACCAAAAATCTGAGAGCAAAGGACCCCTTAACTCAAGTCATCTCATGATGAGTCCCTCTCCTACTCCTTCCCCAATTAAAGACAACATGGACAAGAACACTTCTGAAGTGGAAGCAAGCAGGAGGGGCTGTGTGAAATATCCCTAAGGGGGAGGCAAGGCCTGGCAGGCCCTGTGGAGTGAAGCCTGAGGGATAAAATCAGCCCCTGCTACCCACCTGTTCTGATGCTTCAGGCTCAGGGCTCTCGGATATTTGTTCTGCTGCACAGATTAGAATTTGCCAGGCAGCTTCTGCCTCCTGCAAATGTCTGCTTGTCCCGCTCTCATCTGGAACCTGTGAACGGAGAGAAGGGCAAGTGGACAACTGGGCTGAAAAGGGGGAGGGGAGGGCTCAGTTTTCTCACTGTCAGCAAGGGCAGTCATACCCGAACCCTTTAAGGGTGCAGTTGCTTAATCTGGCACGCAGCAGGAACCCTGGCTGGCATCTGTCTCATTCCAGACAATACCTTGAGCGCACACTTGACTGTCTTTCACCTCAGATAGAAGCCCAAAAAAATCTCATTTTCTTTCCTCTGGGGTTGGGGAAGGTGTTTGGTTTTTGAGTTGAAATGTGAATCAACTCTAGGTGCTGCTTCGTTTCTGTTTCCATTTTGTTTTTGGTCTTTCTTCTCTGTTTTCTTTTTCTATTCTTTCCTCTTTCCTTTCTCTCTAATTTTGGCAAGGCTGACTTGGTATTCTGCATCCAAGAACTTGCTCTTCGAGGCAGCACCTAAAACAGTGATGGGTTCCCTCCCTACAGCTCAAAGCGTGGGGTGCTAGGCCAGAAGGTGCACGGCTGTGGTGTTGAAAACGAAATCACGCAGGCATCTCTTTCAACAGCGAAAAATTGTATCTCGTGATGTGCGGTGAGGAGCATTTGTGGCTCCTGAAATACTAAACACAGCTTCTGAGTCCTGTTTATTTCCCACGCCAGCGATTTTGCAAGATGGACATAAAGACACATAAGCTGCAGTTGTTTGGAGATGAACCGAGGCAGAGTAGAAAAAAAAGAAGTGTTGTGTGAATCATAAAGCTGTCTTGAAGTGTGTGTGTGTGGGGGGGGGTAAGAGACTCATAGATTGTTGGAGCTGCTCCTTGGATTTTGCTCTTTCTCTGCACTCCGAGAAGCCTTGGATAAAGCAGACACACATCATGACTGATGAACTTGAACCTCAGTTGGTGAGGAATTGAGGGGAAGAGAAGCAGCGGTGGGTATGCCCCGATTCAACTGCCCACTTAACACCAGCTACAGGTGGAAAAGGTCTTTTGCTTTATTTGTCCCCAAATCTCACTTACCTCTCACAGATACTCTGAGGGTCAGTCGTGGGGCCTCTAGGCCCCCTCTCAGCTTTTGCGCAGACTTTCCTTGCCCCCGCCCCACTAACCACTCTGCTCAGGAAAAAAGAGGAAAAAAAAATGATCCCCACCCCTTCCACGCCCCCGCCCCACCTCTTGTCCCCCTTTCGAACCCCCTCTACTTTTGCGGGTGGTGGTTTGTCCCAAGGAGTACAGATAAATAGTCTCGGGTCAAAGGGAGCAGCTCTCGGCTGTACTTGTGGATCCCGAGTCAAGTTCAGAGTCCCAAGCGGAAGGGTCATCCTTCCCTCGCGGCCGCTCCAGGAGCCCAGCTGGTTGGGGGGAACCGCAGCGTGGCGGGCCCGGGTCTCGGGTCCTCCTCTGAGCTCTCCCACGCCCCATCCTCGGTCAGGGAGAGGAAGCCTGAGACGGCGAGACTGGCTGGGGCGGAGGAAGGCGGGCGCGCGCGGGCGCCGGGGACCAGACGATGTCCACCGGCTCGCTGAGTGACCCCGAGGACATGGAGCTGCGGGGGCTGCAGCGCCTCTACCCGGACCCGGCCACCCAGAGGCCGTCCCTGCGCGGCACCGAGCGAGGCTACGCCTCGCCCAGCGACAACTCCTCCGCCGAGGAGGAGGACCCCGACGGCGAAGAGGAGCCCGGCTCCCTGGGTGCCGCGGGCGCCGCGGGGGGCTGCAAGAGGAAGCGACCCCGGGTGGCCGGCCCCGGCGGCGGAGGTGGTGGCGCCAAGAAGCCGCTCCCGCCCAAGGGCTCCGCCGCCGCCGAGGGCAAACAGTCGCAGCGGAACGCGGCCAACGCCCGCGAGCGCGCCCGGATGCGCGTCCTGAGCAAAGCCTTCTCCAGGCTCAAGACCAGCCTGCCCTGGGTACCGCCCGACACCAAGCTCTCCAAACTCGACACGCTGCGCCTGGCTTCCAGTTACATCGCGCACCTGCGCCAGCTGCTGCAGGAGGACCGCTACGAGAACGGCTACGTGCACCCGGTGAACCTGGTACTGGGGCGCAGGGCTGAGTCGGCCCCGGAGATAGGGCGCAGAGGGCGGGGTGGAGGTGGGGGGGGGGATCTGGTTCAGCTTGCCCACACACGGAGAGACAGGAGAAGCCAGCCGTTTAGGGGGGAGATAAAAAAATCATCCAGCCATCCGATCCGTGTCCCGGTCCTTTGCCCCGGTGACAGCTATTCGTTAACACCCAACTTCCGGCGTCAGCCCCGGCTCCCTCCTGGGAGCACCTCTGCGTTTTAGGCCGAACTGGAAAAACAAAACCAAACCCTCAGTTGCCCAAAACTTTTTCCAGACGGCAACGGTCTAGCGGGTTTGAATCCGCCAGTGCCGCTTTCTTTAAGAAGGGAGGGAAGAACCGACTCTTTAAAATAAGACTTTGAGTGGTTTAAACCAAAACAAAACCATTAATGCAGGACAGTGTTCCCAGACGCGATGGTCCGGAAAGTCCCTATCTGACTTGCCAGCTCCCAGAGCTTGGGAAAGAGCTCTTCCAAACTTACTAGGAAGCCAAAGTCTGTGCTGTGTGTAGGGAGGAGGGGACATTAAATCACAGCATCCTAGACCCTCGCCCTTCTCACGGAAAAAAAAAAAAATCGTGTCGGCAAAGCACAAGGATGCATGAATGTACTGTAGGTCTCGAATAATCTGTAGCCGGCAGGATTAAAGTTCTAATCCCAAAAACAGGAAGCACGAATTCCCAGATCAAAAAAAAAAAAAAAAAAAAAAAAAAAAAAAAGCCAGGGGACCCCTAGGGTTCCATGGGAGAGCCTTTTTCGTTTTGAGATCATTTCTCCTCAGTATCTGACGCTCGTTTCGATTTTTTTTTTTTTTTTCAGACCTGGCCATTCGTGGTCTCTGGGCGACCGGACTCTGATACCAAAGAAGTTGCTGCAGCCAACAGACTTTGTGGAACTTCCGCTTAGACCGACAGCGACCCAGCTGACGAATTTTGTTAAAGGCGAAGGACTGGGCCAAGGAGGTTTCCCTGGACCTATGAACAGGGAGAGCTGACAGGCGAGCAAGGCTGCCTTCCTTGGGCACAGGTGGCCACGGCTGCCGCGGATCAGTGCCACACTCCATTGCCAAAGACAGCCCGGTTTGGAGGAAGAACTTGCAAATTCGGTGGGGCTTTAGCCCTGAGCACAGCCCCATCCCGCCCCCACCCCCACCCCGTGCCTGCCATCTGAGTCCAGTGCAGAAATAGGGGATGGTTTTGAAGTTAATTTCGATTTTCCCTGTGGCTGACTGGAAGGACCTGCGCGGCCAGGTCCTTCTCTGTGACCATGGTTGAGCACTCTTTCCCAGCACTGGAAAGAAGGCCTTGGGTTAGAGTCATGCAGGGGCCTGTCCTTATGTTGCTAAGGACTCCCACGAGCAGCTCTCTTAGTGGCAGGACACGGTGAGATGGGGACATATGTGGTCAGAAGCCAGCCTGGCCCTCAATCCCTGCAGACTGGGGTCTCCTTCCAGAGCCCCCTCCTCTGTTTAATCCGTGTTGGGGCCATGGCCCACCCTCTGGTCTCCATCCAGTGAGTCCAGCTAGTTTATTGGGTCTCAGCCTCCTTCCCACTCACGCTGTCTCCCTAAGTCCTATCTGACTGCCCATTTGGGGACTCCAGCTTTACCCTTAGCTCTAATTGGGTCACCTTACCAAAGCATATCCTCCTGCGGAGTTCATGGCCTTCCAGGCACTCACTGTTCTTCCTGGTCCAAGGACTGCACATAGTGGGCAGCTGGGGCTGGTCTCTGTACCCACTGAGTCGCTGGTTTCTCCCCAGCGCGGTGCTTAGTGGTCCTGGCAACGCTGCAGTAAAGCGGCACCACCATGGTAACTAACGTATGTAAATAAATTTATTTTTTTAAGAACGAAACACGTGTTGTGAAAATCTTTTCTCGGGTTGTTTGGTGTGGAAATCAACTTTAAACAGGTAAGAGTCTCCTCTCAGGAGGGTGTTAGGATTGCAGGAAGGATGGTGGCGGCCCCAGTGTAGTCGGCTTGCCAATGTCTTCGGACATACATGAGAGGCTCACTCTGTAAGCCACCAAACTCATCATCCTCTTCTCGGTGTCTCCTTAGTTTACCAGCGTGGTTGCCAGAATGAGCCACCACCTCACATCAAAAGACTGTGTATTTCTGAGACTTTCAGAAATAGGAATTCCTGGAAAGCAAGAACCAGAAGCCTGGTAAAGCTGAAGTATTTTGAGGTCGGGGTTGACTGGGGGAGGGGGAGCATACAAACACTTCGAAAATAAAACTAGATATATTAAGTAATAATTAATTCCCACCCTCATCTCTCTGTGTCTATCTATCTCTCTCTCTCTCTCTGTCACCCCTTTTCCTCTCCTCCAGTGTTTACAACTACCGGTTTTTCAGGAACTCTCCACCATCCCCACCCCCTGGAGGCTATAGCAGAATAAAACTATGTTCTGTATAGGAATACCTATCTGTAGATTACTAAGTCCCTCCCACCTTGTATTTTCAGTGTCATTTCCTTCTATTTTCATTGCAATAGCTAAGAGGACTGTAATGTTTTTCAGTCAGCACTCCCTCCCAACACAAAACTCACTTTTGTAGCGCGTTTACAGAAGTGAGGATGATAAAAGGACCTAACTATCTGCTAGACCAGGAATCTGGGTGTGACTTTACAAAGTCAAACCTCAGTTTTCTTGACCACAGAGAAAACACAGCTGGATTTTTGTTGAGAGGTGAGACAGAGGTGGGGGCATGACTTCCTGTTTTGAACTGAACCAAACCCAAACTTGAGAGAGCAACCTTCTGACACCAGCTCTGGAGCTTGTGATCACTCCCCAGAAGACTGGTCCTAGGGTCAGTTAGGAGCTGGAGGGCAGGAATGACATGAGCTTACATGTGGCACTATGGGCTTTCAGGAAAAAGGAAATACAAAATAACAAGTGGCAAGAACCCCAGGCTTGCTGAAAGGCCCTTTGGCTGTGAGGTCTGAGGACCAGGTGCCTGCTGTAGGCCAGATCTCAGTGAAGGTGATGTCCAAAAGTTCCAGTAAGCCAGGTCCTTTGCCCTGCCTAGTATGGTGGTTGTGAACCGATATCACCTAACGTGGTGACTGGCTCGCTGCTGTCATTCCAGCACTTGGCAGGCTAACATAGAGGGGTCGTCTTGAGTGTAAAGATACCACGGCCACAGAAGGAGTTTCTGTCTTAAACAAAAATTTAAAATACAAAGAATGTTTCCAAGCATGGTGGTTCATGTCTACAGCCCCTCGCACCAAAAAAGCAAGAAGATTGACATGAGTTCTAGGCCAACGTGGGTTTGTCTCAAAAGCAAAACAAAATAAAAACCAAAAAATAAACAAACTAACTAACTTTAAAAAAATAATGTGCAGGCTAGTTTTATGTCAACCTGACACAAACTACAGCCATCTTGAAGGAGGAAACCTCCATTGAGAAAATGCCTCCATATGATCTGGCTGTGAAACATTTTCTTAATTGGTGATTGATGGGGGAGGGCCTGTTCCATTGTGGGTAGAGCCATCCCCGGGCTGGAGGTCCTGGGTTCTATAAGAAAGCAGGCTGAGAAAGCCAGTCAAGAGGAGGAGTAAGCCAGTGAGCAGCACTCCTTCAGGTCCTCTGCACTAGCTCCTCCTCCCTCCAGGTCCATGCCCTGTTTGACTTCCTGTCCTGAACCTCCTTCCATGATGAACAATGATGTGGACGTGTAAGCCAAATGAACCCTTTCCACCTGATCTTGCTTTGGGTCACCACGTTTCATCACAGCAATAAGACCCTAACTAGGACCGAACTTGGTACCAGGATTGTGAGATATGGCTGTGACAGACCTAACCATGTGTTTCAGGGAGGATTGTGGAAGGGCTTGGATCCCTGGGATAGAAAAGCCTTTGAGTGTTGAGAGCTCAGCAATCTGTTCTAGGAGGACAGGGGAGATGTTAGGAACGATGCAGAGGATGGAGGCCTGGCTTGTGAAATTCCAGAAGGAGGTTTGAGAGTCACTTACAGACTTTATCAGAGTTGTTGCAAATTATGAGTTAAGAATCTGTGGGTCTGGTGAGCTGGAGCTGAAGAATTGGCTGTGATTAACAAGAAACTAGAACCGCTAAAGTGAAACCTTTGCCCTACTGGGACAATTGATGCTGATTAACTGGAGCTGAGAAGTTAGTGACCAGCATCACTGAGGTGAAATCACCTGGGAAGAGTTTCCTCAGTCAGCACACAGAAGCTGTGTTCCACAGGCTGCCAAGGTTGTACCTCACGCTGGCCATGGAAATTGGTAGTGTAAGCATCACCCAGGTGATACTGGTTATGAAGGCATGGAGGGGTCATGGAGAGCAGCTGAGGCTTGGGACTGTGAGAGCCCAGGAGAATCTAGTAGAGAATGTGCAGCCTCGGTAATTGAAGTCCTAGAATTGAAGGGGTCATGGAGAGAAGCTGAGGCTCGGCACCGTAAGGAGAGCCTAGGAGAGCCATTGGTGAAAGAGCAGCCCAGTTGCAGCAAAGACTTCAGCATTTTGGAGATGCCAGTGCACAGCATGACCACCAAGAACAGCAGCAGTTGAGTGGAGCCAACAGGAGCCTAGAAGACAAGCTGTGAGTGCTGCAGAGGGCAGAGCCAGAGAAGAGACCCAAGCTTCTTGGAAGAGCCCAGAAGATTGTGAATGGATGGCAGACATTGGACATTGAGTTGTTTACACAGTTGGGGCTTGGTTTTGCTTAGATTTGACTATAACTGTGCTGATTCTTTCCCCTTGAAGTAACAAAGTATTTCACTTTTTCTTTTCTTTTCTCTTCTTCTTCTTTTTTTTTTTTTTTTTTTTTTTTTACAATTAAGAGATCTTGAACTTCTAATGAGATTTTGGAATTATACAAAGACTGCATTTTAAAAGAGACTGAATATTTTAAAAAAGGCTGAATTCTTAAGCGTTTGAATTTTTAAAGACTGTGGGACTTTTACAATTTGGGATATTTATGTTATAAGGTTGATATTCATGTGGGCTCTTTAAGATGAACGATAGAGGAAAAGTCATGGCTTAACGGTGATCTCTTCGTGTGTCATGTTGGCAAGGGGTCAGTTGCGCTGGCTAGTTTCATGTCAGCCTAACACAAGTGAGAGTCATCTGAAGGGAGGAAACCTCCACTGAGAAAAAGCCTCCGTAAGATCCGAACGTGGGCATCTTCTTAATTAGTGAGTGATCACGGAGGGCCTAGCCCACTGAGAGTAAGTACGTCCCTGGCCTGGTGGTCCTGGGATGAGAGAGCAGGCTGAGCCAGCCATAGGTAGCAAACCAGTAAGCCTCACTCTTTGGTAGTGGCCTCTACAACAGTTTTTGCTTTCAGGTTCCTGTCCTGTGTGAGTTCCTGTCCTGACTTCCTTCGACGATGAAAACAATGCAGACGTGAAAGCCAAATAGATCCTTTCCTTCAAAAGTTGTTTCGGTCATGGTAGTAGTAACAGCAAGAGTATGGAAAGTAGAAATTTCTCAAAAGCCCATATTAAAATCTAACCTTTACCACTGCGCTATGTGCAGCAAATGTAAATTAATGAATTCCTTCTGGCCTGAATTTCCTCATCTGAAGGGGGTCAATAGCAGGGCCTGCCTCAAAAGAATGTTTCAGGGACAAGTACTAGAATGTGGTCCAGCAAAATCCATGTTTGTGTGGAAGGTAACAGGTGAAGAGCTCACTGGGAAAGGAAATCCAGAGGCTAAGGACAGCTTGAGGCAAAAGGATGTTGTTAGGTGTCTAGGCCTTAAGAATGGATCCACAAGCAGGTGCAGTGCTCCAGGACGTCATCCCGGTGCCGGGGAGGCTGGAGAAGAAAGGTTACAAGCTGAGTGCCAGCCAGAGCTGTAGGACATCGGCTTATCTAAAGTAAAGGACAAGCAACCCCCCCCCCCAGGGAGGTGGGTTCAATCTGGAGAAGAAAGGATTGCTTTTGGACAAACATTGAACACTGACAGGAACAAGCATTTGAATGAAGAAATGGAGCAAGTTTTCTAAACTCAGTATTGAAGGTGGGATATTTTCTTATGATTCTATTCTCTCAGGGTGCTTCAAGAGCAAGCATACACACTTTCAACCCATTGACACACCTGAGCAGAGTGCTGGGATTAGGACCTTTGCATTTACTTTTAATGGTAGTTTGTATGTAATTCCATAATTGACACAGAAGAAAAAATCTCAAGAAGGTATTGCCCCCTGGATTCAGTGGAAAGTTTATAGCAAGATATAGTAATAATAAAGAGGAGGGGAGGTTCAGCTAGAGTCACAGTTTCTGCCCAGCCAGCATTCAGGAAGCCTTTGGCTCAATCCACAACAGCCTACGTGTGTCACAGACCTACAATTCCAGCAGGTGGAGCAGGAGTTCAGTCATCCTTAGCTACTCAAGATCTTCAGGACAAACAAACCAAAAACCCCAAACAGGACAAGCAAAGGAAACAAACCCAAAACGTTTGAGTTCTGGTAAGCCCTGCATGAACTTGCTGAATCTCTTTCTAGGGCAAGGGCTATCACACCACGGCACCTCAAGGCCTTCTAAGTCGTCATGACTCGAGCATGCTGTGTCATAAAATAAACAAACAAACAAAATACTAAAGCCTCCTCCATTCCCCTCCCTCATCATTTTATTCCAAAGGTATCAATGAGGAATGTGGAAGTGGGGACCTCACATAGGGGGTAAATGGTTAGGCAGAAGAAGAGGAGCCCGCACTTGAGATCCCACTAACTTGGTTCTGTTCGAAGAGCAAAGATAAGAGGAAAGGTTAATGGTGTTAAAGTTGCTGAATGACAAACGGATGAGTAAACTGAAAACTCTCTGCTGGGGGCTTTCTGAGGGACAAGAGGGTCCTGCTAGCAGTGGTCTAGCAATGC